AGCTCCTCTGGGAATACATCTGCATACTCTCGCACCACTGGTACATCACTCACTGCCGCCTTACCCGCCTCCAGGGTATTCATAACATAGGCGACATACCATGCGCAACCCTGCTAGAGGTAGCGCCTAGCTCTAGTTGCTGAACATAAAGCTAGTCTACGTTGTGGTCTGTCGCCCTGAATTACCAGCTCTCCCCTCCTTGGGGCTCTGACCCATACCAACTGCTGTGCGCAGTCGATCACTACCCCATTGGGGCTCAACCAATCCATGCCTATAATAACCTTATTCCCATGCAATGGAATGGGAACCAGGTTCACTAGGTAGCGCTCCTCATACAATCTCAAAAAACAATCCCTGAAAACCTCTATTACTCGTACTGATCAGTCGTCAGCAATCTCGACCTCTATAGGGCAATCCAACATGTCTGAGGCTTCAAGAAACCTCTTGCTAAAGGCAAGAGAGACAAATGATCGGGTAGCCCCCGAATCAAATAACACCTAGATTAGGAAACCGTTCACGTGGAACGACTCTAAACATCACATAAAACAGATACATAAATATCATAATCGACATAAAAATAAGAGCTAGGGAGAAGAAAACATACTCGTCAACACATCGGGTGCGGCACGTACCTCCTTAGCGGTCAACTGGAAAGCTCATCTCCTCACCATCAGAGTATCTGTCTTGCCCTGGCGGCCATTCGTAAGCCGCAAGGTCGCTGGAGCTGGCGCCACCACTAGCGCTGCTGCTGTTGTCAGTCTCGGGCATTCAGCCTTTTTTATGGCCTTTCTGATTGCAGTGAAAGCATATCAAGTCTGACGTCTAGAATGTAGGGGTGGGGGCAGTACAATCCTTGCTAAAGTGTCCGGTCTTGCAACACCAATCTAGAAACTCCCTCATGCAGCCTGCCGCATTTCCTACAGCGGCTATGGCTCGGTTGGCCCTTCGACCTGGTGTCAGATCCTTTGGGTTTTTCCCTAAAATCCCACTAACCTGCCTAACCTCTGCCTTCCTCTCCAGAGGTGCTATATGTCAATCTTCTTCTCCCTCGCCCTGGCTATCATGTCATCCAATGTTGGGCATGCCTTAGCTATCATTTTACACTTTTAGCTCGCTAACTCATTGTGGCACACCACATGCTCGATGAAATGCATATTGAACCAGGGAACATTGAAGTCATTAATTTTCTTGCGTCTCATTATAAAAATGTTTTTTGTTTCAAATCTTTACAATCTAACACATATTAGGTTAAATAACCGGATTACTTTGTGATCATTGTTTTTTTGTTTTGTAGGCAGACCCTCGATATATATATATATATATATATATATATATATATATATATATATATATATATATATATATATATATATATATATATATATATATATATAGGGAAATCTTCAGAAAAGTCCCAATATTTACGGAAAAGTTACACTTTAGTCCCAAGATTTTTTTTTTGAACGAAAAAGTCCTGAAAACCGGCAAAAATTTGCAGTTTGACCCTTTTTGACCGGTTGAAACCGGTACCAAACTAATTTGGGACTATTTCGTAAACTAATCCAAAATATTGGGATTTTTCAGTAAACAAAAAATATTAGGACTTTTCTGTAAACAAAAATATTAGGACTTTTCTATAAACAAAACCTTAATTATTATTATTGTTATTATTATTATTATTATTATTATTTATTATTATATTATTATTATTATTATTATTATTAAAATATAAATAAGAATACTATTTTTTGAACTTGTTATTTTTAATATTATTACTAATACATATAAATGCATTAAATGAAAAAAATATTATTAATAACATTGTTTAAGGGTGGAGGTGGAGGAGATGGTGATGTTTTTAGTATTGAAATCGTGAATGTCTACTTGTATATTTTTACTTTGTATATGGTCATTTCATATTTGTTATTATTGTTTTCAATTCAGAATATTAATATTTAACAATTTGAAAGAAGTTGCATATTAATAGTTTAAGGTAGTAGAGTTTCTCATTTTGTATATAAAATTGTTTAAGGTTGAAGAATTACTTTCCAAATCCAACAAATCCACTACAAACATCTACATAAGTAACCTATATTAAAATTCGAAAGTATTAATTACAATATTTGTTTAACAAAAAGTAATAGGAATAATTCAAAAGTATTATTCAAAATTCAAAAGTATTAATCCAAAAAACATGTCCTATTACTTTTTATTGAACAAGATATTGTAATTAATATTTTTGAATTTTGATATGGGCTACCTATGTAGATATTTGTAGTGGATCTGTTGGATTTGGAAAATAATCCTTCTACTGTAAACATTTTTATATACAAAGTGAGAAATCCTTCTAACTTAAACTATTTATAAAGAATTTTACAAATATGCAACTTCTTTTAAATTGTTAAGTATTATTATTTTTAATTGAAAACAATAACAACAAATGTGAAATGGCCATATAAAAAGTAAAAATATACAAGCAAACATGCATGATTTCAATGCTAAAGGCAGCAACATCTCCTCCACCTCCACCCTTAAACAATGTCATTAATATTATTTTTTCATTTAAATACATTTATATGTATTAGTAACAATATTAATAATAACAAGTTCAAAAAAAAGTATTCTTATTTATATTTTTAATAATAATAATAATAATAATAATAATAATAATAATAATAATATATATATGATGATGATGATGATATGATGAGATGATGATGATGATGATGATGATGATATGATGATAATATATAATAATAATAATAATAATAATAATTATAATAATAACAATAATAATAATTAAGGTTTTGTTTATAGAAAAGTCCTAATATTTTTGTTTACAGAAAAGTCCTAATATTTTTTGTTTACTGAAAAATCCCAATATTTTGGATTAGTTTACGAAATAGTCCCAAATTAGTTTGGTACCGGTTTCAACCGGTCAAAAAGGGTCAAACTGCAAATTTTTGCCGGTTTTCAGGACTTTTTCGTTCAAAAAAAAAAATCTTGGGACTAAAGTGTAACTTTTCCGTAAATATTGGGACTTTTCTGAAGATTTCCCATATATATATATATATATATATATATATATATATATATATATATATATATATATATATATATATATATATATATATATATATATATATATGTGGGGATAGCCCTACCTAAGCTTAGGTACAAAACCTCTAAAATATGTCGTTTTATCATGGTAAATATACCCGGTTTGGTTTTACTTGGTATATATATCATCCTCCATAACATTTCTTTCTTTCATTATCGTTTTACCATCTCTGTTTTCTTTCTTCAATTATTGTTTATTACTTCACCCAAGTGAACATTACTAAACCCTAAACCTAAACCCTAAACCCTAAACCCTAAACCCTAACCCTAAAATCTAAACCCTAAACCCTAAACCCTAAACCTTAAACCTAAACCCTAAACCCTAAACCGAAACCGAAACCTAAACCTAAACCTAAACCCTAAACCCTAAACCTTACTGTGTCGATCTGGAATTTACATCTTGAAATATTAATCGTGAATCCATTAACCGTAATCTTTATATAGTATAACAATTTATTTTCAAGAGGTTTAGTACCTAAGCTTAGGTGGGGCTGTAATGTATATTCCTTTTTCCCTATATATATATATATATATATATATATATATATATATATATATATATATATATATATATATATATATATATATATATATTATATATATTATATATATATATATATGGCTTTGTTTTCTGTTTTAGATGGGTTTTGAGGAGGGCAAAACAGGTCTTGGAATACATTGGTGGTGTAATGAAAGAATAGAAAGACTTGGCACACTGCCAACTTATA